TTTCCATCTGTTTTTGATCAGATTTGCTTCCCATTTTGAAGTTGGAATATTAGAGGAAACATGACAAAGATGCTGTGACTTTTCGTTGCATAGACCCCTTTACAATATGTGATGTTCTTCTCTGTTTCTGGTGATTTTCTTTGTTCTAATGCCTATTGTGTCTGATATCAATATAAAATCCCTTGTTTTGTTTTGATTAATATATACAACATATATTACATATATATGTAACATATAATACATACATACTCACACACACACACACACACACACACACACACATATATATATATATATATATATATATATATATATATATATAAAACTCCTAATCTGCCTATGTCATTTTATTTGAAATTAATTTCTTCGCAATGTCATAAACTTTGGTTACATTTTTTGATCTCCTAATCACTGCCTTTAGATTACTATATTTAGAGATGAAATCACTATATGAAGGTAAAGTCTACTAATTTCATGGAGTTTTAATTCTTTCTGTTTATTTTCCCTGTTTACTATGGATTAAATGATTATTTCTTCAAATCTGTTTTAATCTATCTGTAACATAACCTGTACAGGTTACTTAGCATATGTGATACACATGATCTTGTGCAAATACAATTTATACATCTACTAGCATCATTTTATCACTAACAGAAAACAAAGAAACATGGCCTCCTTTGCCTCTTTAAATTCATCAGATTGTAATGAAAAGTTTCCACTGTGCACATTGAGAAGTGCATTGCACAGCTTGTGCGTTGCAGTGTGTGTGGTGCACAGTGTGTGTGTTGCAGTGTGTGTGGTGCACACTGTGTGCACTGCAGTGAGTGTGTTGCACAGTGTGTGCACTGCAGTGTGTTGCACAGTGTGTGCACTGCAGTGAGTGTGTTGCACAGTGTGCACTGTAGTGTGTGTGTTGCACAGTGTGTGTACTGCAGTGTCTGTGTATTGCAGTGTGTGTTGCACAGTGTGTGCACTGCAGTGTGTGTTGCACAGTGTGTGCACTGCAGTGTGTGTGTTGCACAGTGTGTGCATTGCACAATGTCATACTTTCGCCTCACTTGATCTGCCTTCTCAGGAGGAGACGGGAACCTCTTCTCACTCATCCTGTTGTTTATGGTGTTCTTTCTCTGCTTTGCCTATTTCAAGTTCTGTTTTATAAGGGAACCTCTTTCCTGGTAAGAAAACATCTTTTAGTTACCTGCTGAAGGTTAGATGTGCCGGCAGCAAATGTTATTAGTAACTATCACCTAACAATGTCAAATTTCCCCTTCATTTATGATAGGTTTCTTTAAAACTTTAAAAAATTTTTATTTTATTTGTTTGAGTGTTTTGCCTGCATGCATGTTTGTGCAGCACATGTATGGCTGGTTCCTGCAGAGGTCAGAAAAAGACACCGAATTCCTTGGAACTGGGGTAAAGGATAGTGTGACCCACCCTGTGGATGCTGGAGATTAGACCTGGGTCCTCTGCAAAAGCAACACATGCTCTCACATTCTGAGCCATCTTTCCAGGCCCTGGAGTATACTACTCTGGGCTGAGAGTTCTTTGCTCTGTCACTTGAAACTGTGTCACTTCTGGTTTCTGGGAAGAAGTGATCTGTCATTCAAAATACTTTTCTCTATGGGCATTTCCTTGGGGGGGCATGGTGCCTTCTTTTCCAAGTTTTCATAAATTTAGTTATGATATGCCTCTATATGAACTTAGTTGGATTTATCTTATTTGGAGTTTGCTTGACTTTTTGAATCTATATGTTGATGTCTCTTGGCAAGTTCAAGAAATTTTTTGATATTATTTTTGAGCACTCTAGCCCCATTTAATTTCTACTCCAGGACTGAAATAATACGTGTGATACTCTGGGTCTTGAGTTATCTCCATAGCCTATGGATTGGGAGCTTGGTTATCTAACTGGCACTATTAGCAAGGAATGGGACTGTCAGGTGGTAGGATTAAACAACCATGAACTACAACTTCTGAAGCTATGGCTTACAAATAAAGATTTCATCTTTACAAGATGTTTCGTCTCAGCATTTTTAGCAGTGACAGAAGACAAACAAGACACCAGTGACCAGTCCCTGGATGGGACCCTGTTTAATTTTCCACCCTGCTGTTTCTGTTATTCGAGTTGGACAGTTTCTATTAGCCTGTTTTCTAGTCATTGTATCTTTTCTCTGTCCATTTCATTCTGCTGATGTACCCAACCGCTGAGCTCTTACTTCGGGTGCTGTACATTTCCATTATAAAATTTCCATTTAAATACTAATTTTTTATTGCATCTCTGTTCTGTGACTACACTTTTCCATTTGTTTCAAGCAGCTCATAATTGCTCACTGAAACACTTTGCCATGGTTGCTTAAAATTCTTAATTAGATAATTTGAAGACCTCTGTCATCTGAGTGTTGACATCTGTACTCATTTCCTAGGGCTGTTAGAACAATCTACCACAAACTGGGTGGAGAAAAGAAGAGTAATTGGTTGTCTCATACAGCGTTGAAAGCTTGGATTTTTAACTTGAGATGTCATCAAGCCCAGGTCACCTCTGAAAACCATGGTGAATCCTTTGTTGCCTTTCTTATTTCTTGATGATTTGCTGGACAGATTTGGCTTTTCTTGGCTTGCGGCTTAATAACTCATTGACTTCATCGTAACAGGGCACCTTTGTTGTGTATCTTTTCTCTTTCTTACAATGATACCAATACCAGTTATGTTGGATTAACCAACATCTCATCATAACCAATCATCTCTGGAATGTTCCAGACTCCAAACAGGGTCACATTTAAAATTTGATGGAAAAAGCAGTTCAGTATGTAACAGCATTATACATCGTCTTTTACTTTCAGTCTGAACTCTTTCTGGTTCTTGACATAATGGACAACATAACTTTTTTTTGTCATGGTTTAGAATACTTTGCTTCTCAATTTTAGTTGCTTTTTCTGACAATGTTCTGGCAAAGGAAAATGGAAATATTGCCTTGTTAATGGCAAGTGTGGGTAAAAATCCCTAAGTTCCTTCCCTGACACACAAGAAAATGGGACCATGGCAACTCTTGGGAGGAAGTAGAAATTTTCCTTTCACAGGGTCTCCATGGATTCTACTGTAGAGACCTTTGTATCTCTGTGGAATGTTTCTACTAGGCCCCCTCTGATATGTGCCATTGAGACTGCATGGGTTTTCTGCCATGCTCAGGTGGAAATAGAAACCCATGCCTCCCGCCTGACCTTCCTGCCACTATCCTGATATATAGGTGGCATCCCTTTTTACATTGCAAGGGTCCATGAGGATTCCTATTCTTGTTGGCATGAGTAGAGGTGAGATTACATTTTTGCCCACAAAATCTGGAAATCTGGATAGAAAACAGTTGTTATCTGAAAATTTTCATTTTGATAGCTTATTTCTTTATTGAAAAACATATACCATTAATATGCCTGAAACAAAAAAATGCAGGTTTTATACAGGACATTTGAAGCAAAAAGAAAATACACAAAGGCCATTACTTCACAATTTGTTAGACTTTCTCCATGTTTTCATTTTCTATGTGTGATTTATAACTAGAGGTTTAAATGTATTTAGTGGGAAGAATAGGGATAAGTGTATTTGTTCTCCTTTTCCCAAACAGAATCAGATTTGCTTTTGTGTCTTAAAATGATGGACTTGTATTTGCTTAGAGATTTCCATATCTAATTATGCATTTTTCACTTTTGACTTATTTCATTTTTAACATAAAAATATTTTAGTTCTTGCAATATAATTGATTTTTATCTATTGTATTGTTTTGTGTCACTCTTTTCCTATTTATTTCATTCATCACTTCTGCGTATTTTTGTTCTTAAAGTTTTGGAACCTTGAATTTATATTAATGTATAATATATTAGAATAATATATGTTATATATATTATTATCATATATAATTATTCATAGTAAAATTATAACAACATAAAAGTATTATATTAAAACTTTACTGTTTAACTCTTTCATTTTTTAGTGTAATTTGAGTTCTGTTTATTGAGTTGTAATGTAATTGTAACTTCAAAATGATGTCATTACACGATTATGTTTACTAAGCAGCTTTAGAAAGCAGACAAGCAGATAAAACCCTCTTTACATATAGGAGAGATGGGATATTTTTCATCTTCTCTCTGCTGATTCCATGAGTCATTGGCTCCTGTTCCTTTCATTATGAGGTCATAAGAAGATCTCAACCTGTGAACTGCAGTTGTATGCCAGCTAATGGACTGCAGGACCTTTGTGCTGTGGAATCACTCTCCCTGAGATTCAACTTTTTTTCTGCTTCAGCTTCTAGCAAGGCATCATAAATAACAGGCCTATGAGTCTAACTATTACATTTGCCTGAAAGTCTTCACTGAGGACTGTCTTCACTAGACTCAGTACACAAAGAACATACTTTTGTCAAGGTAACTTGAGAAAACTCTCTGAATGTCATGGCAAGTTTCCTATTGTACAGACCTAAAATAGAAATGGAAATCACACAGCAGATTATGTCTCTCTGTTTTCTTTAGAACTAGGAAGGTAAGGGACAATAAGGGACCGATCTGCTGCCTAACTAGGCTTCAATGCATTCTTTATTTGTAACTTCCTACTTTAGATTTACATTATTTAAATTTTTTACTTCAAATTGTTATACTGGCTTTTCATTTTTTAATATTTTGATGATTTCATTGTAAATATGTTGATTCCTTCTAGACAAAGGGTATGACAAAAATAATTTACATTAGTAGACAGTCTCCAAATAATTTCACCCACCAGTAAGTTTGAAGGGTTTCATATATGATAATTATGATCTTGGCAAATAATTTAGACATAACTTAGGAATAAAGACATGTTTTACCCTAAACAATGCCAGAAAGTTATCATTTTCCTAGCCTCTGCCTCTTATTCTCCATTCATGAAATAATCTTTACCTATCGGTTGTATCTACTTTGCAGTCTTACCGTTCTTATATCTCTTGTGACTCTGTTACACTAATTTTGCAAAATGATACTTACTTATTTGTCAGCAACCGATAGTCTGCCACTTTAGTGCACAAATCAAGTATTTGATCCAAAATTTCTGCACATATCCCATAATGCTTCTCAAAGCGCGCTTGAGCTCTTTCCGCAGCCATCCTTTCATGCATTTCCTTCTCCCTGAAGGTTTGTTCTGCGAAATCAATCTTGGCTTGTTTGGCAAGAGCCTAAGAGCACAAAGACAAACTTTAAGTCGTGATTATTATGAAATTGTTCACAGGAAGATAAAGTCATAATATAAAAAAATAATCTTTAAATAAAACAAAACCTCTTTTACATCAGGGTTTAACTCATCAAGAATCGGCTTTCGCTCCTTAATACACTCAGTATCGGTGACAGCGAAAGCAGTGTTGGACTCCATGTTCAGCTCATCAACAAGACAGACTACAGTAGAAAGTGGTGTGGGTGGGAAAAGACCAGTGTCACAAAAATAAATTGGATCTTAGGCTTTTCTGAAGGTGTCTCAATTACATCATTTGCCAAGAGTCAAATGTCACAGAGAAATGTTAGTCTGGGTCAGCTGGCCCTTACACATTTGTGACCAGGGCCCTTCACCAGGAACACATTCAAGTTGACCACCGTCCTTCACTTCTCAGTATTAACTTACTGATTGGCTTAATATGTGGTAATTAGATTTCAGTGCCTTGAGATAACACACTCAACACATTTTAAGTGTGTTTAAGTCCTTGCTACCTTAGCCTTTGTAAATTTGTAACATTCATTTGTAGAAACATCTATGTCTACAAAAAGCACTTAAATATTTAAACACCTTAACACTACCTTCTACTTGGTGTGTATGATCACAATAATTTCGTTTTAATCATTCTTTACATAAAATGCAGGCTAGCCAAGTCGAAAGCAACACGAAGCTTAGTTGGAAGGATTCAAATAATCAAGTGCTGCCTTTGGGGAAACTTTACCAGCTGCTTCAGAAATCAGATCACTTGCTTAAACTGCCTCACTAATAGGATCTAACTCCTGTGATTTAATTCAGCCAGTAGAAAATAGAAATAAATGTGGGTGCTGGAGGAACTGCCTACAAATTCAAGCCCCAGCTTGGGCACAGAATTCAAGTTATTTGAGAACTCCAACAAGTCATTTATTCTCATTAAGCCTCAATTTCCTCAATGGAGGGATATTAATAATTTTAGTATACTCAGAAAAATTAACTGAACAATTTCATCTGAACAAGTAGTTTTTATCCAATCCTGCTGATAAGTGATAAAATTTATGATAATAGATTGCTGTGGAAAGTCCAACACCTGTTTAACTGTTGCTGTCTTATTTGGCCTATTTATTTTTAATTTCACTGGGATGGATGACATCTAAGATCAGGCCAGTGTATTTGGTAGATTCAGGAATGACACTAGAGTTGTTCATTGCTTGTTTCAGAGGCCCTGTGTTCACGTAGAGTGAGTACAAGTTAGACAAAGAGCTTTATGACATGTTCCTTGATATCAAGAAGAGCTTGGATAAGAGAGGAACTTGACATTGATGGGAATTTACAGTGACAGTAACACTAAAACAGATAGTGAAGCTGGTTCTCCATAGGAACCAGACACTCGAAGGAAACAATAGAATTTCCCTATCAGCAACAGAACAGTTTCCATCCTGGGCTGCTGCTGCTGCTGCTGCTGCTGCTGCTGCTGCTGCTGCTGCTGCTAACTCCTGACTCCTCTTCCTCCACCATGCCTTCCTTCCTTCCGCCCTCCTCCCTTCCTGTCTTCCTCTCTCTCATCGTGGCTTCATCTTTGTCTTACTTCTTTTCCATTCACCTAGTTGGTCTCCCTAGTACATTCACCCCTGCTATCCACTCTGTGCTAGAGTGGATACTTTCCTATCTCATCACATCAATGTATGTAGCATCCCTAAAAGAAGAACGAGGAAATATAAAAGAAGTCTGTGAGCATAGTAATCCTCAATAGTGTTGAGCTTTGGCTACAGAGACCTACCTACAGGAAGGCTCTGCTTCTGACAAGCTATGTGACTTTTAAACTTTTGGCTTCTCTTTCCTATGTGTCAAACTTAGATACAGATAGTACTCATGTGTATTTTCTTTTTTTGCAGGAGTTATATATGCATTAATGAGCATAGTGCAATTGTGATTTGAAGGGAATGCTCAAAATGTTGCGATTAATTATTCATAACAGTAGGTGGCACCAAAATTTAAAATCAAGAGCTACTAGTTAAGATGAAATGTGCTTTATTGTGGAGTATCACAGAAGGAAGCAGCAAGCTGGTGAGCTGAATACCATTTCCCTATTTACTGAAAGACCCTTTCTGCTGTTCAGACACATGTAAAAAGTGTTCAATGACAGCAATGCAAACTATCTGAAATGTTGAGCACAGGAGCTTCAGGCCTTTGCAATCAAGTTTGACAAACTGATAAATGAGTTCTCGAAAGGAAAATAGACAAAAGCCAAAGTAATACACTGACAAACAAGTCTATTTTTGTTATAAGAAACCATACACATAAAGTGCAGGAGACATAGGCTGTAGTAAATGAACAACAGATTAGATATTTTGATTTTCAAGTTTCAAAATAATATCATAATAGCAAAGAACATACCCAGGAGACAGTTCTTGAACTCTGGGTACTGTTCTCACTTACAATAAATTAGAGTACCCCCTGCCTTCCCACAGATTATTATAGTCTACAAGAAGGAGCATTACAATAAAGGCTTGGGAAATACAGTCCTATGAAAAGGTGACAAACTATTTAAATCTAACTTTCTTACTGAAAGAAAGCCTCTTAAAAGTTCTCTTTCTGCCTCAGAATAATTGCCTAAAATTGCCCGTACCACTGCCCACACTAGTAACTTTTGCAAACATTAGAGATGAGGAAGCCCCTTGGATGTCTGAGGTTAAAACGTAATGATTCAAGGACATGAAAATAGATCACCAGCATTGGCCTTCTGTCAACAACATTGTATCTAAAGAAAGTGTAGAGACATGTTTTAGATACTCCAGGAAAATATAGATGAAGCAAGTATTTCAAACTCACAAGCATGTACGGAAGCACACACCATCACCAACATGCAGGAACTCACAGAATATTAATACAGTTCTCTCAAAGGTTAGCAAAATGACTATAGACAAGTGAACACGGGACTGATGGCAAGCATGCAATGCTTAGAATCAAATCAGCTGGTGGAGGGTGTACTATATTAGGGGGCTGCCTCCTCCCTTGTCAGTTATAAGCTGGCTATCAGGTATGATTTTTAGTGGGGATTTTATTTACCGCTTCTCGATCAAGAGCATCCTGGAAATCCTTAAGTCGTCTTTCTTCGTATTGTTTCTCTCTGAAGATTCTATTTTGCCACAACACTTCCTTTTCGTGCCGAACGTGCATGAGCTGCACCGCGATCCTGCGCTCCTGCTGGGACTGACGCATCAGCCGGTGAATCAGCTGCTCTTCCCGATAGGCCTCCTGTGAACACCAGCATGGGAGCCAATGACTTATCCAAGCCAAGTCCGGGTTATCCACTGGACTCAGAAGTCAATGTGCAAATAATGTGTGCAAGGCATGACAGCTGTCGAAGTCAACCTCTGCCCTTTAGTTTAAATTTAAACCCCGCCAGGCACGCATATGCACACACACTACAATGAACTGCAATAGAGTTTACTTAATCACAAAAGTCTAATACTAGATCTTTCTAGAAACATTATGGTATTGAAACTCACAACTGCTTCCAATAAGTTGTTAGTTCCTTTAAAATCTAGCAAAATCAAATCATGTCCGTTTTCAAAGTTTTCTGAACAAGGGGTGCAATTCTCCATTTATAATTATGTTTCCAACATCTGGAAATCAGGTATATGCACTTTAATATAACAACTCTGTAAAGGTGATGAAGGTAAATACAGAACTGGTGCCTTTCCAGGGTGACAAGTCAAAATTTGGGTAAGAAAAGCTAAAACTCAATGATCAATGAAGCCTGGAGAGGGGGAAGTGACCTATCACTCATCTTAGGCAATCTCAGTGGTCAGTGTGAAGTAGAAAGTGGATGTGTTCTTGGCTGATTTCAGGAGAATGGAAAGGAAGTGAACAGAGGAAAAAGCATTAACTGGGAATTAGATTGGCTGCTGCATCCTCACTTGTACCATTATCTGGCTGTGTGCTTTGTACAAGTAGTTCAGATTTTCAGGGCACCCTTTCTTATTAGGTGGTAATGAGGGACTTAGACAAAAAAACAGTTCCCCAAGCCACCAGGATTTCTTTGTCTAAATGGAAGTATCATATGGAAAAAAAGAGGTAATTGTAGTTCTCAGTGGGGACTTGAAAGAATACTGGTGTTTCTAGTTTAACACCTAATGATCCAGTGATTTGTAGAAAAACTCTGGGATCAATAATGACACTGTCTCAAAGGCTCTCTACAGCTATAGCAATATAGGAGGAAGAGTACACAGTTGTTTTTTTTTTTTTTCAGAGTAAGACACAAACCACAATCTAAGGTAAATGCTGAAACCTGAACTTTAGGCTTACATTAAAACTTTAAATTGAAGTTCAACAGAAAATGAATGAGACATTTATTCTGTTTATAGGATGTCTTAGATAAAGTCATGAACAATTTCACAACAGGTGTTCTGTCTAGTTATTATATTCTAAAAATAGGTCATTGTTAATAATTTCTATCCCCTTATCTCCTTTGTAGCTGGAGTTTTCCTGCCTGGCCCACAGTCAGGACAAATCTCTGTCACCCGCCAGTCCCACAGCCACTCAGACCCGACCAAGTAAACACAGAGACTTATACTGGGTACAAACTGTATGGCCGTGGCAGGCTTCTTGCTAACTGTTCTTACAGCTTAAATTAATCCATTTCTATTAATCTATACCTTGCCACATGGCTCGTGGCTTACCGGTATCTTCACATTCTGTTTCTCATCGTGGCGGCTGGCAGTGTTTCTCTGACTCAGCCTTCCACTTCCCAGCTTTATTCTCCTCCTTGTCCCGCCTACACTTCCTGCCTAGCCAATGGCCAATCAGTGTTTTATTTATTAACTAATTAGCAACACATTTGCCATACAGAACATTCCACAGTACTTCCCCCCCCTTTTTTTTTTTCAAAAAGGAAGGTTTTAACCTTAACAAAGTAAAATTACATATAATTTGGGAATTTGGGCGTAGCTTCTCTTACTACTTCCTGCTGGAGGGGGGCGCTGTATCTTATGGGGAAACAAAGAAAATTTTAGGATTATGGAATAGTCCATGAGGCTGTATCGTCTGAGCCAGATGCCTTCAAACAATTTCACAACAGGTGTTCTGTCTAGTTATTATATTCTAAAAATAGGTCATTGTTAATAATTTCTATCCCCTTATCTCCTTATTATCCATTACTAGAAAAAGAGCAGAATGCAAAAATGGCCACATGTTCTTCCCTTCAGTTATTCATAGCTCTGCATTGTGCCCATATACGAATATCCAGCAGAAGAATCTATTGTTCTACTCCTTAAATAGGACATATGGTGTGACCATTAACTTGAAGTGATAATTGAGACATCAGCCAAAAACAAGAAGCCATAAAACAACAACAAAAACCAAAGCAACAACCATAAAAACATCAAAAGACCCTTGAGGTTTGACCTCTAAAATTCTTGTTACAGTTATTGAATACATGACCTGAGCTACTAGAAAATGAAAGACTTTAAGAGAAGGTAATTTTCTTCTGAGCAGGATCTCATCAGGTTTTGGGGGTCAGTCAGCACTAGCAAGCCACCAGCTGATGCCTTAACAGTCCAGCCAAGAGAAGCAGAAAAGTATAGCTGAGTTCACCCCCTGGTGCACACTAAATTGTGGTCTAGTTTGGAATAGACAAGTCACAGTCTCAAACATATTTTTTAAAATATGAAATTGCTTCATTATTCTAAATGAATTCTATAAGATTAGGCTGTGTTTTCATAGCAAGATATTCTAGCTGTCCAAATGTACTCTGGCTAGCCAACCCTTATAAGGAACATCCTGGTGTGGTGACTCGAGTTTGGATTATTACTGAGATTAAATTGGGAAAAAAAAGAGAAAGAGAGATTATCATGGGATGGCTGCATCAAGGCTACATGTGTTAAGTTTCAGTTTGAAGATCTATAAGGACCTTCACATAAAAGTTAAATGGAAAAGATTTTGTTGCTGTTGTTGTATTATGGAAGTAGTTCATGTTTCAGAAGTGGATTGTTTACTAAAATTTTAGTGAAATGTAAGATAGTTTCTCATATAAACTTACAAACTAAGATATGTGATGTTTGCTAGTAAGAAAGTCAACAACCCTAGAACATAGTTGTATCATCCTGTATTTAGAATGAATAAATGAAAACAATAGGATTCATTTCTATCTTAATTGTATTTACATATTTGGGGGGAGATTTCAAAGAATACATAATCTAGAATATCCTCAATTTGATTACAGGCTTTTCCACTTCTCCTATGAGGTATAACTAGTCGTTAACTTGAGTAACAGTTAACCAGTTTTCCAAATGACTGTCCTGGAGGAATTTGCCACTGTACTACTTATGAATAACTAAGTACCCAAGGTCCATAGTCACTAATGAGGAAGGAGGGAGGGTACTTTGAAAATTTATAACTAAGGGTTTTGCTTTTCTGATGTGAGGATCTACCTACGACATCCAACTCAGAGAGACAGACAACATGTAATATAAAATGCTTATTTGTATAAATACAAGACCAAGTATTCTGAAGTGCTCAGCACTCTTAATGTAGAACTAACATCAACTATCTCACCTCCTGTGCTTCATGGGCGATTAACTGGTCCATCAACAACCTCCGCCGTCTTTTCTCCCTTTGCTCACGCGCAAATGCATCTTCTTCTAGGCGTTTCTGGATCTTTTTAATGTAGTCATCATCTGAGTAAGTGTTTAACAAATCAGTAGTTGTCTGGTCTGTTGTTTCTAAAGAAGTCTTGGACGCACTAAGGGTAACAAATCATTGTTAGATTTTAATACAATGTAATTACACGCCCTTTCATTGTGATCATGGGAGACTTCTGGAGGAGGCTCCTTTCAGTTTGTTGTTAATCTATTGATACAAGCACTGGTTAAGCATTGAAGCCTGTAGCTTATTTGTAGATTATATTTGCTTTAGATCAGTATTTATCTCTACCTCTCTGAGGTCCTTAACATAGCTTTTTCTTAAGCACATCTCTTCTTTTCTCAGTTCTTATACTCTTCATTCTAACGAGAGATTCTGGTTTCTTTGCTGCATCTTTCCATTGGCCTCTTGCTTCTCCTATTTTAAGTCAACACTAGGCAAACTGTAAATAATTCAAATGTCAGTGAAGACACATCAGTGACAATAGACTAGACAATCAATGTTAGCTTATTGGGAATACAGTACCCGTATGGATGACCCCATTCACTATTATTCTGTTCTCACCTACAATGGTGAAGTTAGTCTAAGTACTTCCAGACGGACTTATGCCTTCTTAGGGCAGTGGCCCAGCTTTTTCTAGGAACTTAGAAGTTCAGAGTTGGCCTGCTTATCAAGACTCAGCACAGGCCTGATATGGCATCAGCACAGGTCTTCCCAAAAGAAGATAAACACCTTAAGTTCAGTGAAACAAATGGTTCCTTGCCATTAAGTTTATAGTCATTAAAAGTTATCATTAAAAACAGAAGAAGCAATGTGCATAACAATCGAATCATTAATACTCATCTGCATATGTATTTAAAAAGCCATTAGAATGCCATAGTACAGCTGCATAAAATAAATGATAATGTTACTTGCCAAGAAATAGTGAGTTTATATTATGAATCATCATTTTTATGTTATTACTAACACACTTAATTTAGAAAAAAAAAACAGAATTTATTTAGAAAAAAAGGGCATGTTACCAAAGTGTTTCATGACTAAACAGTTACCAATTTTCATATATTCAGAATTACTACTGCAAAAACATCTTTAGTGTGAGATTAATACACATATATTACATAGATCCTATTAGATTCTAGATCACAATTAGTTCATTTGCTGCTCCCAGATAAAATTTGGGCCTATGGAAAAAGTATTCTCTTCTTGTTCTCTGTACAAACTATTGGTATGTGCTAAATTCCACAACTACGCAGAGAATCATTGTAAGATGTAGTTATAAAACATTATGATTCTGATGATTTTATCCACAGGAGGTCCAGACACAGTTGTATTCTGTCCTGAGAAGAGCTAAGGATAAACTGTTTTAGAACACAACACACAGGGGGTCAAAGGCAGAGCTGACCTTTGCTTATTAAGATTTAATACAATGAAAGCCCATCGTAGTGGCTCAGGCCTATAATCTCCAACCTTGGGAGATAAAGGCAAGTGAATTTCTGTGAGTTCCATGTCATCATGGTTAACACAGTAAGCTTCATGCCATCTAGTGAGACCCCCCCTACCTACAAAAATAAATAAAAACATCCTTTGGACCAGTTTCAAAAGCATTTTTAAAGGTTAGTATAATTAAATGTTTATGGAAGTTATGTGGTCATTCAGCAAAATTCTTACTATTTTGTGCTGTTACAAATTCTGTTCTAGATTAAGTATAGGCTAATTGCTTCCTAAACACTGTGTTTATACTGCTCAAAATCTACCTAGTTCATGAATTCTCTGTTACTTATCAATCCATTCATCCTCCCAACCACCCACCTATTCATCCATCATCTCACAAGCTATCAAAGGCTCTAAATGCAAGGTAATTACAAGGAGCTGGAAATGTTGCATTCCCCAATTCAAGGATTATATAATTAAAAAATGCATTAAAATATTACATTGTATCTCATAAATATATATTTGCTAATCAAAAATTAAAGTCATATTGAAAGACATAAAAATGCTGGCTATGCTGATTGGATTTAATTAATATCTATATACAACAAATTGTCACACCATATGAATTTGGAAAATTAAATTAGTAAAAAAATTCTTAAAAATAAAGCTATATGGTAGTTTCATTGAAGAAATATTTATTTTATTACATATGGGCATCTTGAAGACAGTTATGTTTTATCAATAGCTGATTGTTTGCCAAACATTCATATAAAATAATGGATTTTTATGTAGGAATTATCAGTACAGAAATTTTGTCAAATATATATATTTTGATAATTACTTGGTATATCTATCACACCAAATGCCAAACTACAGCATCCGAAAAAGCTCAGCTAAGTAAACAGATTGCTGATAGGATTTATTAGTTGTCTAAAACAGCAGCTAATGAATAGGATACAGGTGAGAGTGGGGCGGTCAGAGCAGCTCCACATTGCCGGCGCCACAGCTTTCCGTTTTCCACCAAAGGAAAAGGATGGACTTTGAGGTGACAGCCCTTGTCTCTGAGGGACTTTTCAGGCGTGGGCCACAAAAGAGGCAACAGCTGAAACCGTTCTTCAGATACCAGCTGTTTATGCGTACACACACACACACACACACACACACACACACACACACACACACACGTGTAAGGATAATAAAGAAAAAAGGGATATCAATTTGAGAGTAGGGAGACATGAGTGGGATTAGAGGCAGGGTACCTGGTAGGGGCTGGAGAGAGGAAAAGGAAAGGGGAAAGTAGGGCAATCCTATGATATTAAAAAATATATCACAAAGATTTTAACACTTCTTACTGCAACAAGTTAGCCTGAAGTTTCTAAATGATTCCAGAACACCCCGAGCTAAAACTTCAAAATGAATTTTAACAGCAGTTTGTGATAAAAAGGCTTTAAAAACGCCTATGGTCTTATAACTTTGGTTTTCTTTCTCAGTTTGCTTTAGACCAACGCTTCCTGGTAAATTTCTTGTTGTGGCCATCAGAGAAGCTATTTGTGCAGCACACTGCAAGAGATTTCTTTCTAGGTGAGGCTGCTCCGAGCTACAGAGAACTGACTCCGGGGTGACTCTCCAGCTGTGCCGTGTCCTACACTGCTGCTCTGAGACGGGGGACTGACTCTATTCTATGCCCACTCCCAAGTGCCCTTGGAAATTTCTGGCAGGATTAAATGGAACCTTCTGGGAAACACACAGAGTAAACAAACAAAAACCAACAAACAAATAAATAAACAAAACAAAAACAAAAAAAAGGAATTAAAAAATAGCCTAAACAAAGTACCTCCCATGCTCATAGATCAAAAGAATCAATATTATGAAAGTGGTTACATTACATTATCGAAAGCAGTGTATAGATTCTGCATGTTCACCACAAAAATTATTCATAGAACTAGGAAAGATTACAAAGTTCATGAAGACTCTTTATACCCAAAGCAATTTGAGAAAAAAGAGAGATTTTGACAATATTTTAATACCTGATTTCAAAATATAAGACAGAGATATAGCAAAAAAATCCACTATAATAAAGCTAAGAAAACAGACAAGTATACCAATGGGCTGGAATACAATATCCAAAAATAAATGAATGAGACTACAGCCGCTTCGGTTTTGACACAGGTACCAAACTTGCATTGGAGGAAAAATTAGCCTCCTCTGCAAATATTGCAGGGTAACCAAAATAGCCACATGTAAAGAGTAATACTCATTCCCTTTCACTTGTCTTATATAAAAGTCGATTAAAAACGGCTCAAAGATTGTAATGCAAGACTCAAAGGTTTGAAACTGCAGGGGATATAGGTACAGTTAAGAACTCATGGTAGAGGACTAAATAGCCCAGGAAACGGTAGCAAACATTGATAAATGGACTTGAATGAAATTCAAAAGCTCCCACATGGCAAGCGAGACAAGAAACTGTGACGAGACCAAGGTGGAGTGACAGATGTTCCTTGTCACCTATGCATCCTGGGCTCTGGTTTTAGGGGACAGTAGCCATACTAATAAAGGGCATGGGGCTCAAGGCAGGGCGTCAGGAATTTGTTCAGAGGGTAGTAGACAGGAAAACAGGTATATTTTCCAAGTTACTTGATTTTCTTTCCACAGCTGACCTCCTACTATTTCTTTCCTAACTCTCCATTCTTCACGGGACTCCATAATTCGCTCGTTCAGAAACATTAAAATGGAACTCAAGTGTGTTGTTTACTTGTGTATTTTTCCTTTAATATAGAATTCTTTAACATCGTATAAGATGTAAGTATATAGAGATTGGTTAGTTTCCATTTTTAAAGGCAGAAAGCCCTACACTGCTCCCACAAGAGTGGCCTCTAATGGGTTATTTTCAAGGAACTACAATGAGAAATAAATGAATATGAGACATGTTTATATTTAGGTAAATGAAGCTATCAAGGAGGCACAATTTACAGAAGAAAACTCATAAAATTGCATAACATTTGGTGAAAAACTTCATTCAACAACACATTATTGCTATAGTCTGTGATAAACACAGAGAGTGTGGCATGAAATAAATCAAACTAGAGTCCAATTTAGGCTTTCCTACAGCACATTTAAATTAGTGTAACAATTTTAATAAATGTTTTAAAATGTATTTGAACTCAGAAAAATAAACACAGCACAGAAAAGTACACGGACTTTACATTTCCTGATACTCACTTTCCCAGTCTAGATTAAAATGGTTAGTGAGTAAATAATCTGAATTTTAAGTCACGTTATCTTCTCTTCTTCCATATACTCCTTTAATAAGCCTCCAAAGTGGAAGATCCTTCAGTAACTTTGCTACATAATCTATTTGTAAGTATTCAAAGTTATTCATGGCACATTTTTTCTGATATAAAACATTATATCCTACCTTTCTTTGGCTTGGAGATCCTTTTTTATTAGGGCTTCAAATTTCTTAATCTCATTGGCCACGTCCTTTAAAGAAAATTCACCATCAGTTCCCTGCCTTTAAAAGCCATTGGAAAACTTCATGTTCAACCAGTTTTAAACTGTAACACATAGTACTAATTCAAAATAATTAGGAGCAAGATAAGACAAGCTGCCTTCGGGAATACTTTTATAATTCTGATTCATTCTTTTAGATGAGACTAACCTAAAATAATATAGAAGTTGTCTAACCTGAATCACTTAATTCATAATTCAAAAAAATTGTGTGTACATGTGTATGTGTATGTATGTGATGTGCACACACATGCATATGTCTGTGTGTGTGTGTGTGTGTGTGTGTGTGTGTGTGTGTGTGTGTGTGTGTGTGTAGACTACTGCCCCTGTGGGGGTGAGAGGACAACCTCTGTTTTAGTCCTTACTTCCAATATTATTTTGGACAGGATCTCTTGTTCTCTGCTGGGATTTCTCCTGACTCTGGTCTCATTTCACAACAGGGGTAACTGGGATTACAGACACAAGCTACCACATGTCTGCTTGTGCAGCAGGTAGTTTAGCTACTGATCTATCTCCCCAGAAGAGACTAATTTTAACAGTGCACCAAAGGTAATTAATGAAGTTGAAGTTATCAGAGTCCATGCTTTTTAAATAGAAATATTTCTTGCAAGTGTTTGTGTTAGGTGTTTTAAACATTTCCCATGCAATCTCACTTTACTCTATGAACTTTCCTTAAATATTTTTAGCTCATGTTTATGTACTACTAATAAACTTTTATCAACTCAGGGAAATTTAGTTTTTAACTGTAAGAATGGATCCAGAAAAATATGTGGATAATATTCCTAAAATCCAAGTATAAGGTATTTTGTTAGAATTTAAAAAGTAATATATAGATTAATATACAGTAGGTTTAGGGATGAGTGACCTGGGCCATATCTTCTTCACAACAGCCTTGTACTACAATAAAACATGTCAGCATTTAGGTTTCAGTTTCCTCATTTAAAAACGGAAGATGATGATACTATACTGAGAGAAACATGTAATAAAATGTCAATAAAATGTGAAGTGGTAATCCACATCTTGACTAATGCTGAATTAATAATAACCTTTGTAACTTTTCTTAGGCCAACACATAACATAAACAATCAGGAATTATCATCAAAACGTAGTATTGCTTCTCTATGACATAACTAGATTTTATCCTGTTGGAAGGTTGACACTCAGTGTGATCGAGTAAAATATCTCCAGTGCTGGCATTTTAGTTTAAAATGTGTTAACAGCGACAAGTCAATTAACATTTCTGGTACTCATAACGAACTACATTGCATAGTAAAGAGGAATGGTGTGTTCACAACTGCATCATATCAGACTCCCTATAAACACGGGACTCCGTGTAGACATTCCTACATTGGGAGTTTGATCTCCCTGGCCTAAAGTTACACCCAGCTACTGAATAAACAGTAGTAAAATGGATTGTATATGCACTAGCTGGTGGAATTTTGGATAAGAACGAGAAGTACCAAGGACACTTTGTAAAGAAAATAAGAATCTTTAGAAGGTTTCTGCACATTACAGAGAAAAACTATTCTTTTTTTTTTTTGGTTTTTCGAGAGAGGGTTTCTCTGTGTAGCTTTGTGCCTTTTTCCTGGAACTCACTTGGTAGCCCAGGCTGGCCTCGAATTCACAGAGATCCGCCTGGCTCTGCCTCCCAAGTGCTGGGATTAAAGGCATGTGCCACCACCGCCCAGCTGAAAAACTATTCTTTATTTAAGAGGAAAACAAGACAACAGCAAGGGACCACAACTTACCTCTGCCTCTTTTTTCTTTTTCATCAGTTTTTGAGCCTCAAGAGCTTTCAAAGTACGATTGGATTCAGGCTTAGGGATCTGTATAATGGCTGCTTGGATTTTGGCCATTATCTCATTTTGTCGTCTTCTGTTTAAGCGTTGCTGAGTATGGCATACGTATTAATTTATTTTTCAGCTTGTCAAAATAATAGTCATGTAATATGTGTACAGATATACATATACGTAAGATATTTGTTGAAAATTTCAGGACTTAGCAATTAAGGAATGCACAAACTGTCACAATTGTATAATATTAGGAAGTCATTATCAACATTATTTACTCTGAAAACTATGATGCTAAAACACAATATTGAAATACTAAAATTATGACTAAATGATGTATGTATTGTTATTATGTGTGTTGGGACATGAATAGTCAGGGGCTCTAAATACAAAGAAGATTATATTTCTTTCCCAGTGCCACCTTCATGATCAGCCAAATCATGAGAAGAAGAAATTCTTTCTCTCATGAAGCCCCCAAGGACTGTATAGACCCAACAGCTGCCAATAGAAAAGGCAGCTTCCCCAAACCCATCCCCCTACGCATGAGTTCAGGGGCAATCTCAACTACTGGCCTGACACTAAAATATAAAGCATCATTGGATTATCTCTTAAGAAGACAGACAATAATTTTTTTTTTTTTTTTGGTTTTTCGAGACAGGGTTTCTCTGTGTAGCTTTGCGCCTCTCCTGGAACTCACTTGGTAGCCCAGACTGGCCTCGAACTCACAGAGATCCGCCTGGCTCTGCCTCCCGAGGGCTGGGATTAAAGGCGTGCGCCACCACCGCCCGGCGACAATAATTATTTTAAGGACAATATGAACAGGATGATATAATTGAGAGAAAAAGATATAAAACATGATAAAAATAAAACTAGGTATCTTATTTTATGACAACATAAATGTATATATCTCTACTAAAAGCATTGTACTATAACTGAAATCACTAAATTTTACATCAAAAGATAAGGAAATTTATTTTACCACTAAAATGCAGAAATTATAATTTTAAAGCTTTCATTTCACTTTCTAAAAATGTGACTGTTTTAATTGCCTTATGTTTATGTCTTTGTTTTAATAAAACCAGGAAAATACAGGTTTGTCGCATTTACTTCCCATGGTCACGTTTCACGTTCTCTCTTGGGCAGTGTCCCACACCCTTCGTCTTTTCTTTCTTTGGAGATTTCCTGCATTAGACTTGGCTTTCCAAAGCTGAACTGGCTGGTTCAACGCCAATCAGTCCCAGCACTTGACCTTAACTTAAACACTGGACTTAGAGTGTCCAGTCTCTACCACGGAAGGCATTGAAGAATGACTCTGCCCTCTGGCAAGTAAGAGAAGGCTTCCTAAAATTTGCCTCTTGAATGTTTCCCTCCTTCCTCACAAGAAACTGCCTCTACTCGGGATATATTAATTTCTTATCATCTTAATAAATTTCAAATGGAATAGGACAAATCATGATTCCATTGCCTGTAGTTTACACATTCCATAATGCAGCCATTGGAAATCTTTTAAAAGTCTTTAATGATGATTTTTTTTCTCCTGTATCTTTAAAGACACAGATCATGAAAGATTTTTCAAAGAGGTTTGAGAAGCAGTGGTGAGTTACACAAAGTCCTTATCGAGGACAGTGAAGTTAAGATGCTCAAGATAGTTGGAAAGGGAAGCAAGCGGAGAAGTAACCTATCAAAAAGACACAGAGCAGGATGTAGAGATCTGGGGATTGCAGAAAAGGGGTCAGAGAGGGGCATGGGGAAGTGTTTCTTTTCTCTTCCACGGGGATACAATGGTAGAGGCCCTTCGGCCAGTACTGTAGCTAGTAGCAAATCATTTCCCAAAGAGGTGAGGCACAAATTTCATCCCGTGAAAGAAATAAAGTTTATTCTGAGAGGCAGCTAATGGTTCTCAGCCACCAGTGCAAGTGAGAATGAGGGAGTATAAAGATGGAGAGGAGAAAATATGGGAAGAGGAAGGTTATGGTAAGGCAAAGCAAAGCCATGCATCACAGCATGCAATCTATCTACACAGCTGCTTATGAAATGTGTACTTATTACAGGCAGAGGTAAATCAAGAGTAGTATACTAGGTATTAATGAATTTCCAGAAAAAAAATGTTCTATAGAACCTTTTCGATATTAAAGTGTCTTTGCTCTTCCTCGAGTTTTTGAAATTTTTCAAACTTCTCAATATTCATTCGGGCAAGATCTTCTTTCATTTGTTTACATTTTTCTTGAAACCTGCATGTGACCCGCATCAGATTGAAATCAGTTTGGCGTGGGATCAGGTTTTTAAGTCTCTAAATGAAGAAAGCATTTCAAAGGTTTCTGTTACTGGAGAATAAAAGGTGTACTGGCATTGCAATCACACATAAGTTTTTGTGTTACAAATAAATTTTATACACACCATTATGTTGATCATTAAAATAAATTAAATATAATATATTAACATATTAATCACTAAGATCTTTACTTGTGTATGGTCAACAAAAACAATATTCATATCTCTTCTTATAAAATAGTGTCATATATATATTTACATTTTTGCCTGCTCTTGATTTTTATCTGGTCTCCTTGATCAAAAGACCTCTTTACTTTTGACCCTCATACAACATAGAGTTTTTTCCCAGAATTTTTCCTTAGACTAACAGTTGTGTCAGTTTCTGTGAAATGTATTTTACACTTCCTTTGAGCTTCTATTCCCCAAGCTATTGCCTTTATTTTCTTATTTCCTTTACCTCCGTGTTTCTTGAGAAGATAGTCTGTCCGCCCTTCTCCCCCATCTTTAGACTATGATGTATACCACTCTACAGAGACATTTTTCCCTTTGTAGCATGCAAACCTGAAGTGGGTTGGGGCTTTCCCAATGTTATTCACTTGCAAGTGCTTGGCATGAAATGGGGACTCAATAAATATCTACACAATGGATGCCTGACTCTGGAAGTTCTTTACAGTTGGTTGTATATTGTCTTCTTTAAGCTACACGAAAGTCCAGTGTGATGGCAGGCAGAAATAATCATTCTTGCTTATACAGCTGGGGAAACTGCGTTGAAAGTTTCTCAGTGACTGAATTGAGTTTACCAAGCTTATTCATGAAGAAGAATCCAGCATTGAATTACTTAGCTTTATGCCTAACCTAGTACCTAACCTGCCCATGGATTCTCAGTTTAAAGTAAAGTACTACCAGATTAATAGTGGCATCCAATTAAAGTAGAGCAATTTGAAAATGGAGGTAGCTCTCTTATCTGTTATGCCATTGTTACTTTGTAAATTAAAATGTAAAGTTTTCCTGTTTCCATTTAAGGCTTTGTGTGAGTGCAGCATGGACTACTAATCCAGAAGCCTGGAAACATTGACCTTCCACTTCACTCATCTCAAAAAAGAAAAAAAAAAAGGCACTGGAGAGATTGCCAACTAAAAAGTACTAAAATTTCATCAAAATACATTTTCTGCAAATTTAAAATGCTCAAGTATTTACCAGGCATTTTCCTTGAATTTGAAGTACTCAGACTTTAAGATCATATGACTAACAAATAAGGACTAGTTAGCCAGCAGGGTAGGGTAGGCACCAAGTGGTTAACACATGTGCACTAGTAGTCTCAAAGGAAGAATCCATGTGAGTTGGGTCAACAGCAGGGATGGGAAAGGAATGTTGGGACAGAGGAGAGATAAGATTGGGGTGTTTGGGTGGATAAAAGGGCAGGAATAGTCTAGACATGTTCAAGGACACTTTCAATGAACATAAATGAAATAGACTTTGTGCTGAGTAATACAGAGAAGCAGTGTTGAGATTGTTTAGTCAATGCAAAGTTCATTTTCAGATGGTGATACAATATATACAAAACAGAAGTCTGTGCTGAAGAACCTCATTGTGTATCACAAAGCCTGACACTCAGGAGACATGCTAGCAGGTTCCTGTAGTGGCCCCTAAAGAAATCTGAGCCGCCATAAAAGCAGGAGACAGGGAGGGGAAAGGAGGACATAGAAAGTACTGGTTGGTGTATGTGCAGACTCAGCAGGTTATATTTGGATGCATATATATATATATATAATATATATATATATAATATTTGGATGCATATATATGTAATAACAATAGGTGAAAAATAAGGAAGGCATGAATTTAGAAGGGAGCAAGGAGGGGTATATTGGACAGTTTGGAGGGAGGAAAGGGAAAGGAGAAATGATGTAATCATATTACAGTCTCAAACATAAAAGAGAAAACAGAGACTTGGATACTAAGTATCTGTAGTGTGGAGAGGAAACAGGAAGACAGAAGGGGTAGATAAACAAATGGAAAACATTAGCATAAAGTAACACCTGGAATGGCCAATGATACAAGTAGCTTCAGTGGAGTTTCCCCAAGACTACAATCTCACAGCCAATTTGCTACACCACCTTTTTCCAGATTAATAATGGCATCCAATGTCTGTTAGGTCTCTTTACGTACCCACCTCTCGAAAAGCCTCACTTCTGAGTTCCTGAAGCCTTATGTTTGTCTGGGGTTGCATGGTTTGTATTTCTAATCCAGTCAGCCCGGTTTTCTTCTTTTTCTGAAGAGCAATGTACAACTGATAGAGAAGTTTCGTTGCTGCCCCTGGCTTCTCTGTGATGATGCTTTGGGCCACATTCTGATCAAACTGCACACCCAGTAGGTGAAGTGTCGGCTCCAAGCGGGAGAAATTATTAAGTTTGGCAGTTGAACCCCTAAATGCGACAATATGTTCATAATATACATTAACATTGAATTAAAAACAAACACCAAATGTCAGAAGTACTGTTAGGACACAACACTGTGAGTTATCCCACAACCCTTAAATGCTTCCTTTTTCTTAAATGAGTCAGTGATGAAAATGCATGGAGACATTTCCCCATTGGCTATGTGTACCTGAAATTTATTGTTTTGTAGAATCTAAAATTCATTAATTTTATATATTTTATGTTGCAAATTGACATAGGAAGTAAGTACAAAAACAGTCAACCAAATGCATTTTTCTAAGTGGATAAAAAGACTACAGTTTTGAAAATTACATTTTATTCTAAAGGCAAAATTACAATACAAATGCCCATTGCATTGAGTTATCATTTATTTTTGCTAAAAATTTAAATTAGTCCTAAAATTTATATTGACAAGCCTAACAATGATCCTCTCAGACACTGTCTATAATTTTTAATTAAGTGATATTATCTATGAAATCCATTATGTTACCCTTCTGTATGTGGTTTATAGTAATTCTTTGAGGTGCAAACGACTCTATAATTTGACATTTTATTTATTATTAATGATTGAATTTCAACATAGCCTCAAACTTTATGAAACTAATGAATTCATTTTACTCTCTCAATTAGCATTTCATTAAATAACAATAGGTACTGAGGATATACCTATTTATTAACTTTAATTAATTACAAAGGTTTATTGACATATCGGGCTAGAGAGATATCTCACAATCACTTGCTGTACTTCCAGAGGACATGGGTTTGACTCCCAGAACATGCATGTCAGCTCCCAGCTATCTCTAACTCCAGTTTCAGGGGATCCAGTGCCATCTTCTGGCCTACATAAACATTAGGCATTCATTTGGTGCACACACACAAAATAATTAAATTAAAAAATTATTAAAGTATTAAAATGAATAAGATGTAGTTGTTACTTTTAGGTGCTCATAGTTAATTAGAAGTATATTTAAATCAAAAGCAATAAAATTGATATATTGCCTCAGAAGTCTGAAACGGTCTGTGGCTGTTCATGTTTAATGAATCTGACCACAGGAGGAACAGATATTCAATGCATTATAACTGCTGTGACTCTATTATCAACCCAGATACACTTATCAGTTCTAGCCTTTGACCTGGTTTCTTCTTATCTTAGCTTCCAACATTCAAATTTGTTCTTTAATACAAAAAAAGCATATAGAGTATACTTGAATGCAAATCAAAGTTCATACTAAAAGTTGTTACTCAGAATCCAGAGTTGCCATATATTTGAGTGATTGTGCAAAACATGTGCAGAGTCTCATGTACCTTACCTACCATACATATTCAGAAAAACGGAGACTGAGAGTTATCTCTCCAACTTAGGTCTGTGTTGTATGTTGGACTGCAATATTTAGAGACATTGTAATACAGAAGGGAGAATACAAAAGCAATCACTAATCATTTTCATTTTTTTCAAAGCTTATCCCTACTGCCAAAAGAACTGACTCCCTCCTCTCACTTGGTTTACATAGCTTCCTGAATATAGTGTTTACCTGTTAATATTATACAAGTTTGGCTTACTGTTTGTTTTTAAGATGGCGTTAATGAACTAGTGCAACCACCTGGTATATAACAATAATCCTCCCTGGAAGACTTAATGAATATTCTACATTCCCAATAAGTCAAATTTTGAGGAACACAACTTGAAGGGCCCTAGGAAATCTGTGATTTTTTAAGGCATCTGCACAACCAGCAGAGTAGAATAACCAGCTCTTGTTTTTGAATACAGAAAAACAGCTGGGACATCTTTGCTCCGGAGACAGAGCATATGATGCAAACAATGACCTCGGCGGGAATATGGAATGTGCCCTGGGAAAAGTCCTTGCCCTCTGCTTACACTCTTTGCTTGCTAAGGGACTTAAGTCTCTTCTGCTGCATGCCACCAAGCAACTTAACACACTTACTCTCAACATGAGAACAGCTACCCTCCAAAAGGTATTTCCTTATTCCCTATTTGTTTTCCTTTTAACTGATCTGCTTTGGCAAAACTAACATGGTTTTAAAGCAAAGAATCCTCTCAGAGTTGGGCAAGTTATTCTTAAAAGTGAGTCATTTCTAAGACATGTAACTTCACGTTTTTAGCAGCATACAATATATAATTTTCATTTCCGACCACAATAAAGATATTAGACAAACTGCATACCTCGTGATCATATACCTTGTCTTAGGATTTCTACTACTTTGAAAAAAAAAAAAAAACCACCATGTCCAAAAGTAACTTAGGGAGGAAAGGGTTTATTTTCATCTTATACACCCAAATAATCGTCCTTCACTGAAGGAAGTCAGGAGAGGAACCTGGAGGCAGGAAGTGATGTAGCAGCCATGGGGGAGTGCTGCTTACTGGCTTACTCTCCATGGCTTGTTAGTTTAGAGCTGCCACACCTCAACATCCACACAGCATTGCTTCCAAGGACCCCCATGGATGTCAAAATCTACTAATAAAATGGCAATAGTATTTTCATATAATTTAAGTTCATGCTCTCCTATAGTTTAATTCTTCTCTAGATTACAGTGGAATTTCCCTGGATATTTTCAGCCCTTGCTTGAATCCATGGATAAAGACTGTAGCTGTGGAAGACTCACTATGTACATAAAATATTGCATGAGAAATGAGATTGGGATGGTCCTTTAAAATTTCTATGGCCATTTAGGTATAGATTGTGATGCTGATTTTTTTCATTATGGAAATAATATTATAAATTTACCAAGGGTGGGGATAATGCTTGAGTGCAACTTTAAGGATATTTCAATATATTTGAAGAGTGTTCTAGTTTACTTTGGTTGATGTAATAGACATTATGACCAAAAACAAGCTAGGGGGGGAATTTTATTTGCCTTACACTTTCTAAATCACAGGACGTCATTGAGGAAGTCACAGTGGGGGGAATGAAGACAGGAACGGAGGAGTGCTGCTCATTGCTTTGTTCTCTATGGAATGCTCAGCTTGCTTTCTTATCCAGGCCAGGTGCCTAAGGGTGGAACCACTCATGGTGGGCTTGGTCCTCCTGCATCATCATTAATAAAGAAAATGTCCCACTGACATGCTCACAGGCCAATCTGATAGAGGCAATTCATCAAGTTCTTGCTTCCCAGGCAATTCCAGTGTTTGTCAAGTTGACAAGACCTAACCAGCACAAGAAGCTAACATTTGTTATGTCATTTTCCAATCATTTTGGACACCTATCTTTAGCAGTTACTCCAATAAGAACTGACACAAACAAATAATCATAACTTAATATGATAAGGAAAAGTATCACCTAAGTGTCATTAGAACAGAGAGAAGACAAAGAGCAAAATCTGCTGGCAAAATTAAGAAGTTTAAAGAAGGGTGGACTTTTAGTTGGATCCTAAAAATGAATTAGAGTTTTTCATGGAAAAAGTGAAAGAATAGTAATATGCAAAGATACATGCCTGGGTTAGAATGAAAATGGCCCCCATACGCTCATATATTTGAATGTTTGGTCCCCAGATGGTAGAACTGTTTGGGATGGTGTGGTGGTTTGAACGAAAATTACCCTCAAAGGTAGTGGCACTATTGGGAGGTGTGGCTTTGCTGGAGTACGTGTTGCCTCATTGGAGGAAGCATGTCACTATGGAGGCAGGCTTTGAGGTCTCATATATGCTCAAGCTTTGCTCACTGTGATACTCAGACCATTTCCTGTTGCCTACAAGGTGTAGGACTCTCAGTGACTTCTCTAGTATCATGTCTGCCTGCACACCACCATGTCCCATCACGATGATGATGGACTGAACCTCTGAACTTTAAGCCACCTCACTTAAATATTTTCCTTTATAAGAGTTGCTGTGGTTATGGTGTCTCTTCACAGCAATAGAAACCCTAACTAAGACAGATGGATTATGAAGTGTGGACTTATTGGAGATGGTATGTCACTGAGGCTGGTCTTTGAGGATTTACCAACCCACACCATTACTTGTTTTTTTTTTGTTTTGCTTTGTTTTGTTTTGTTTTTTATTGACTGAAATATCCCTATGTTCTAGAAGCTTAAGAAATGAGCTGGGAAGGATCACTGAGAGAGAGAGAGAGAGAGAGAGAGAGAGAGAGAGAGAGAGAGAGAGAGAGAGAGAGAGAGAGAGGTGGGAGGGCACGAATATATGCTCAATGGTATGAAAATTTGTTTACAATTACAATCTATGGCTTCTATTGTGTCATATGATTCCTTCCTGTACAACTGCTGGAATCTAGATTTATAAAGAAATGAGTCGCCCATGAAGAGGATGTATCAGATAACTTTTGGTACAGACAATTTTACTATAGGAATGTGTGAGTGGGAAGTGTCGGTAAAAAGTGATTTGTGTTAGGTTACTGAGAAGGGGAGGGGAGAAGTGAAGTGTTTGCCAGGTGAGCATGAGAATCTGGGTTCCACTATCAGAATTCATGTGAAAATACTGAATGTGGTACCCAACACTTGTAATTCCAGCGCTGGGGAGATGGAGGCAGGAGCAACCCTGGTGCTCAATAGCTAAGCATTCCTGCTCCGGACCCAGTGAGCATTTCAAAAAGCAAGGTGGACTGTTCCTGAGGAATGGAAGGAGAACTAAGATGGTCCTTGGGCCTACCATATACATGTGTATGAGTGCACCCATGTACACACACACACACACACACACACACACACACACACACACACACGCACATACACCACCAACAGCAGCGGAATAAATACCTCAATAACTGACCTGCTTAAAGACTGAAAGACCTCAGACAAAAATTTAAAAAATCACCCTTTCAGAACTGTGAAAATCAGAGATCAGACAAGGATTTGCAACAATTCAAAGAACAGATATTTAAGAACACGCCCACAAGACCACCCACTGGGGTAACAGTGACAACAATACTATAGGGTAAGAAGTCACTATTTTTTAATTGGTTTTAAGGATTACTTCATGGGATAGCATGCAAACTGACACTGTTAATGAGGGCAAGAACCTGGGGTGAGTTAGGTCATGAGCCCAGGGGGAAACGTATTACTATTCTTCTATTAAATGATCACAGCGACAAAATTACTCCCGATGACATTGCTATGCCCATAGATTGATGGATGGATCACTTAAGCCTCATCAGAGAAGCTCTTTCTCTTGCAGTGGATGGCAGTTCCTATGGAGACTTACAAATGGACAATACGAAGAGAGTGGGAGACTTTGAAGCACTCAGCCCCCAATTAATTGTCTTTATCACACCTCTTCCTCAGTGCTCATGGATCCATGCTGAGCACGATGCAGAAGGAGTGGAAGAGCCAGAGGTTGTGGACAACATCAAGGAAACCCTGTTTCCAGGACACATTGTTCCAGGTTTACATATGAACTCACTGAGTCTGTGACAAAAGACCTTTACAAGGTCAATCAAGTCAAAAACCCGGCATGGCTAAAAGGAAGTGGACACAGAGTCCCACTTTAACAAGAAGCCACAGACAGCTGCTGAGAGAGCAAAAATCAGTTTGCTTCAATTGGGGGACACTGATCCATCAACATACACCAAGGCAGTTCATGCTCTGCAGCAGTTGACTAACACAAAATGGACGCTATGTTTTCTGGTATGTGTTCTTTCTGTTATCGTTTTTAAGACAGAAAGAATTTGAAGTTGGGTTTGTGTAGCAGCATCTGGGAGAAGGTGGATGGGAAAGAATACAATCAAAATATATTGTACAAAGTCTTTTAAAATTAAAAAAATGAGCCGGGCGGTGGTGGCGCACGCCTTTAATCCCAGCACTCGGGAGGCAGAGCCAGGCGGATCTCTGTGAGTTCGAGGCCAGCCTGGGCTACAGAGTGAGTTCCAGGAAAGGCGCAAAGCTACACAGAGAAACCCTGTCTCGAAAAAACCAAAAAAAAAAAAAAAACAAACAAAAAAAAATTAAAAAAATGAACATGGTGCTTGATCTCTATAATAGTTATTTTGTTTTTGTTTTTGTTTTGTTTTTTGTCATTTCACATCATTTTATCCCCCCTTTCCTTTTAATTCCAAGGCAGTCTCCAAATACAGCAGCAGTAGCTATAAAATCCATCAATCAATAGAGAAGGCAAACAGATCTGAAAGCTCCTCAACAAAGATCCTATATTTCAAGCACTGCCACTATTTGACCTGCATGACAGTGCTATAGAAAAATCCTTTTCTTGTAGATTTGTCATTATTTGATCTGTCATAAAGATTACTTATTGGGTAAAGTCACATTCCAAAGGTATTAGTACAGAGTAATTAGTGGCACATGTGCAAGATTCTAGCTGCCTGGCATGGTGCTATCAGTTATGCTAAACAAGGGCTTTCTCAAAACTAGAGAGACTTAAGAATGAGCTGTGCTGAGTCAGAAGTTCTTGTAGTTCCCAAGCAATGATCTACAAGGCAACATACATGTGTGCAAGAGTATGGGCTCCTGGAAAAGACTTGAGGTATTTAAAACATCTCATGTCTCTCACCTGGTTAAGGTGTTAATACGGGAAGTAATACGGGAAGTAATAAAGTGTTAATATGGGAACTAAGGCAGAACCCGACATTTCCAAAGCAAAACATGATTCAACACTCTCACAATCACTCAGCAAAGGCAGACTAACTGTTCAAAATGTGCACTGGCTGATCACTAAGTTATCAGGCAGATGATATAGGTACTGAATACAGTGAGGAATAGAGGCTTTACAGAATGTGTCCCCCAAAGTCATTAAGGAAACAAAAAGCCGCTGAAGTTGCATCCACAGCAGACAGCAGCAATAGCCAAAACTGCTGAAATCTGAGTCAGCACATTGGTATTTTGAATGAGATGTCCCCCTACAAGTCTTGGGCATTTGAATACTTAGTACCTAGTTGGTGGCTGTTTACAGAGGATTGGGAGATGTGACCACTGGGATCCAGCTTTGAAGTTTCAAAAAGACTTACTCAATTTTGAGTTAAGTCTACCAGCTCATTGCTTGTGGATGAAGATGGGAGTGCTGAGCTGTTACTCCAGCATCATGCTTGACCGCCTACCTGCTGCCATTGCTCTCCACTGTAATAGTGATGGGCTCTTATCCTTCCAGAACTAGAAGTCTAAAATAATCTCTTCCTTTTAAAAGTTGCTTTGGGCCTGGTGCCTTTTCACAGAAATAGATAAATAACTAAGACAGTGCATTATATCATTTTCTATCCTCAATGCTCAATAATTATCACACATGCAGATAAACAAGAAAGTATGGATCACATATAAGAAAAAGACCCAGTAGAAGCTCTCTGACAAAGCCTACAAAAATATTTTAAAAGGGATATAAAATATTTTCAAAAGCTAAAAGAAATTATTATTTTTTTTTTTTTTTTGGTTTTTCGAGACAGGGTTTCTCTGTGTAGCTTTGCACCTTTCCTGGAACTCACTTGGTAGTCCAGGCTGGCCTCGAACTCACAGAGATCCGCCTGACTCTGCCTCCCGAGTGCTGGGATTAAAGGCGTGCGCCACCACCGCCCGGCGAAATTATTTTTTACTTAGAGGAAAGAATAAGGAAAAACTCTCAACAATAAAGAAATTATTGAATTATAAAAATAAGAACCAAATAGAATTTTAGAGATTAGAATTACTACTGAAAGTTGGTCCAGCTAGTGTGGTTAGCAGTGACCAAGACTCAGGAATGAAACACTCACCACAAGAGTTCAACCACAGGTATGATTGGTTAGAAGAAAGAATAAAAAAACCCAAGGATATATCAGCTGAAATTATTCAGGCACAGAACAGTAAGAAAAAAAATAAAAACAATAAATGACCACAATTTCAAAACACCAAACACTATCCAACAAAATGGAAAAAAAAATGTACCTCAAGGACATCATAACAAAGTTATAATTTAAATTATGCAATGGAAAAATATTTGCAAATCATTTATCTGACAACAAACTTACCTTGGAATATGAAAATAACATAAAACAACAAGAATGCAATCTGATTTAAAACAAGTAGAATATCAAAATAGACATTACATCAATGAAGATGAATAAATGAATAATAAGATGTAAAGATATTTAACAGCATTAGAGATCAGGGAAATGTGATTTAAAATCATAATGCACTACACATTCAGTCTATTAGGATGGCTTTGAAGAGAGGAGAGGTGGGGAGGAAGTGCAAACAGCAGCAGAGGGGAAACTGTTATAATATAATCAAAATATATTGTATGAAAAAAGTCAATTTTCAACAAAAATAATATGGAAAAAGGCAATCACAAATGTTGATAAGAATGTAGTGAAACTGAAACCCTTGTATGCTGCTACTGTAGATTTAAACAGTGTGGGTGCTTTATCAAACAGCTTATATGTGTTTTCATACATATATACATATATTTATGATATATACATGATGTATATACAATTATATACATATATATGTATCACAGCAATGACATTCCTAGTCATATAGTCAAGAGGAACAAATACTCAAAGGGAATAAGAATATAACCATGCACAATACAACATTCATAATAAATAATAACTCCAGTGAAAAAAGCTCAAATATCTATCTACAGATAAACAAAATGTGGCATGTCATACCCATGGAATTGAAAATTTCCCAGCAAGTAAGTAGTAATGAAGAAGAGGCACACAGATGAGCCTTGAGACTTGATCTTAAGTGAGAAAAGCCAAACAAAATGTGTCCTTTTTTCTGACACATTTCTTTACTCCATTGGTAAGCACCATGCGTAGCTGGAAAATCCAGAGACTGGAAGCTTACACGCACCAGGGCCTCAGTATCATAAATATGTAACTATACTAAAACCAAGCACACTGAGTCATAAACTTTCAAATGACAAATTACAGTCTAAAATTATATTTCGATATTACTGCTAAGACAAATTGTGTGTTTTTATTAACAGTTAAGTCCTATTGTATATTTTTAAAACACAATAATACTGATTGGTCACCAAGGAAACTACATTGCATTCTGTTTCTATCCTTTAATGAAGGAAGAATCAGGGCTGGCGAGATGACTTGGGAGTTAAGAATGCTGGCTATTCTACCAGAGGACCTGGGTTTGATTCCCAGCACCCACATGGCAGCTCACGACTGTCTGTAACTCCAGTCTCATGGGATTTGACAGCTTCTTCTGGCCTCTGTGGACACTGCATGCATATGGTGCACAGACATACAGGCAAGCACTTGTACACATAAAATGAAAATAAATAAAAATCTCAAAACAAGAGAGAACACTGCAGTAACAAAAGAAAGGAGAAACCTGGGCTGGGACTACAGAGGTATGGAAGGAATAAGACTGTGACTTTCCTACAGAAGCAGTCTTGTTGCAAATACATTCATTCCTCTCCTTTGTATTCTGGAGACAACAAAGGACTAAATGCCAAAAAATATTGACTTTTTTTTTTGACGAATAGAATAACTTTACTAACCTGCTCTCTGAAAATTCTGAAAAATCACTCTGAAGTTCAAACTTGTACAGAACTTCTCCAATTAGATAGCCATTTGAAAATGCCTTTGCAAATGACTTGGGACCTGAATTTTAAAACATTGAAATAAAATAGTAAATTATAGTGTGATGTATATAATCAAACCAGCATAACTGAGCACACACACACACCATGTCCTGAATATATTTATAGAGACATCTTTTAATAACCAATGTAAAAGGTTTAACAGTAGACATTATTGTTAACCCCAAAGATAAACCAGTAGTTGATGGTAAACAAAATTTTAAAAGAAGTAGAATTTTTTTCTAATTAACATTAAACAAAACACAATACAATTAATAAGTAACCTTAATCTAAAACAACTGTCAAGGTATTCTATGAAACTGTGCTCTAAATACATAGGCAATGTCTCCAACCAACAGGGATAGTACATTCTAATTGAGATGCAATCTAATTTTTTTTTTAAATATAGATTTAATTTAACCTATAAAGTAGTGGGAAATGTACGAAAAATCATCCATAGTCTTAAAAATAATCCTTAATGGACACAATAAGAATCTTTTTTCATGGTTCAGACAGGTCAACACTGTCCAATTGATGTGCAATGGAATGATGGCAGCTCCTCAGAACAGAGTTCTCAAAAGAAAAAAAGACAGCTAAGAAATATTTTTAAATGTATTCAACATCCTTACTAATTAGTGCAATGCGAATACAACAACGTTGAGATTTCATCTTTCTGCAGTCAGAATGGTTAAGGTCAACCCGATGACTCACAACAAACGCAGATGAGGACACGGGGAAGGATGAACCCTTAGTTATTGTTGGTGAGACTGCAGGTTGGCACAGCCACTGGGTAAAACAGCGCAGAGAATTCTCAAAAATCCAAGAACATATCTGCCATATGACCTAACCATACCATTCCCTGGTATATTCCTGAAGGATTCCGCATCCTATTCTAGATACTTTCTCATCAATCTATTCACAATAGGCTAGGAAATAGAAACCGCCTAAATGTCCTTCAAATGATGAATAGATGATGAAAAATTGGTACATATAGACAATATTCTATTTAGCTGTAGAGAAACCTGAAATTATGGGATTTGCCGGTAAATGGATGAAAGGGGAAACTATTGCACAGAGGCAAGCCAGATACAGAAAAACAAACAACACATGTCCTTAATTATTCTTTCTTTAAAAATGTCCTTAAGTATGGATGCAAAGAGGTTGGTAGTAGGGGAATCAGACACGCTGATCTCAAAGGCCTCACTCAGGGAACTCTATGCCAACTGTATGTATTTTCATATCTGATCCCAGCACACAATTTTAAATAAAAATTTCTTGATATTTCTTCTCATAGTACTTAATCTGAATGATGTTCCAATTTTATGGTGATTCAACATGATCATACTTTTTTCTTTATGGACATTTCCTCTAAAGTGGCAGGTCTGGCACTCATCAGTGGCCTTAAGTACGCTTGCTCTCAAGAGACCAGTTTGATTGTTGTTTTAAAACTATTCATCACAGAACACATTCAAAGTTTATAGATTTAGGCTCCCAATCAGTCCCATTTGCCCTTGAAAATTTTTCCTTAAAGAGTGGACACCTCTGGGATGACAATTCATAATTCATACTACATACTACCTCTATGAAATAAGCTTGTTCTTCATAACCAAGGAATCCACTGTCCTTAACATGGCAACATTTGTGACGCCATCAAAGAACCTTGTGATGATTGGCATGATCTTTCATTAAACGAAAGTGCCATCTGATATGATTCTTTGATTATCTAAAGCTGATACAATCCCAAGGCTTACTTCCTCATTAGGACAGACTGTGTTAACATTTCCTCCTATACTGTTGTTACTTTCCATGCCCTTGAAGATCTCCTGATGCACCAGAGCTGTTCCCTGGTTTGGCTGCCACCACTATCCTCCATGGCCATTCCATCTCTACTGCTAATTGCATCTTTCTTTCCAGTTTCCTCACCAGTCTCTTCTGTAATCCATCCCTATTCTCTTAGTTTTCTCATAAGCCATTTGACCTGGAGCCATTGCCAGACTGTAGAGATACCTTTTTTCCGGGTCCTAGCTCTTGGGGGTTTGGGTTCAATTTTTAAGCACACTTCTTTCTGTTCAGAAGCTATTGCTCTGTCTCCTCCCTTGACTGCTGCCCTCTGTACCTTGCCCTGTACTTGTTTAAGCCAATCCAATGCCTGGAATTCAGCCCACAAATAACTAGGATATAGACTAGTAGTATTCTGTCACTCTTGATACAGCAGATAAATGGGCAGTAGCAAAGTATTTGCCATAAACATGATTTGCTTAAAAATACTCACAATCCACTTCCTTTGAAATGACACAGAATATTAATTATACAACTCCAATATAGACAAAATAGAGGTGTTTATGGCATAAAGTCAAAGGAGTAATCAGTTATTTATCTTGCTGTCAGAATAATTCATAATAAAAATAATATAAAACGTTGGTCAGTGGGTTCTCATGCATAAAGGACTTTAGATTTATGGTGTCAGCATGAAGGATTACACTGAAAAAATATATTAAATGGTAAGATCAACAAAGAAGTTAGTACAAAATGGAAAAAACAGGAAAGAATACATGCAAACAATGAAGCAAAGAAAGGAAAAGGGAAGAAAAGCATGGGCATTAGGGATATGTAGATTAAGAGGACAATGTGGAATGAATTGATAAGACATTACTCCCTTTCAATCTATATATCCCTACAAGACATAACAAGCCAAAGAGAAAGGGAGCAACGTAAGTAAAGGGTAAATCAGGGAGAGGCATAGTAAGAAAAACAGGGAAAGCATTTCTCCTTTTAGTTTTATTGTGCTTTTTTCCTCCCATTCAGTATCACTAAGCAGTATAACTAATTCCATAGTAACCACCTCCATGAATTAATTGCACTATGAGTTGTCATTTCCAATGTGAAGAAGTGACAAGTTGACTCCAGGACAATGGACAGTAAATAGTATAAGAAATGTGATAAGGGGCACTACTCATCTTTAAGACAGTTTATTTTTCATCATGGATCATGGTTGTTTAGCAGAAACTCAGCCCCACCTACAACCATACAAGCCATAGGTCTGGTGCTCATCACTGAAATTGACATGTGATAAAATCTTTAATGTCATCCTTTGTGATAGGTCTGTCATGCTCCAGTAGCAGGTAGTAGATGGCCTGTGCACTTCTCTACCAGTGTGGACCAGTGTTAGTTGAAGAAAACACTTAAAGCCATCCACAGTCTAAAGTGGTAGCGAAGGATCTGGAAGAAGGGACTTTGTTTTGTTCCTGGTCTGTGTACATGCCACTTAACCTTACCTAATTGAACATCCATAGTTTTTTTTTATGTGTAAAAGAGGAAGACTGGATCCTCGGCCATAAAGAATTATTTGAGAATTATATGAGACATTGCACATATAGTGCCTGGAGTCATGACTGACTCACAATGTGCTCAGCAGTGATTTTATTATCATGATTACACTCTTCTAAAAAGATGGGTCATGTTAGCTGTACAGACTCCACACTGAGTAACAGATCTTCAATGGTGATGTTCCATGAACACTTCTCCAAAGGGTATTTCAATGTCCAGAAAGCAAACATTTGACACTGCCCTGAAACCCAGATACGAGCTCACCATAGGGCCAGGTATAACACCTTCACCACTCTGGTCAAGCATCTAGAATCAGTTGATTTGTACAGAAAAATATTGACTGTTTGCATTCAGTGGATAAGTAAACACTAAAAAGGCCCATAACACTTCCCATTAGATATTTCAACTAAATAAATAAAGAATAAATTTCAGACAATTCTGGCTTAGAGATTGTAGATAAAAGATAAAAAACCATGCCACTTCATGCTCACTGGCATTTGCTCCCTTATGACAAGAAGAAAGATCCTGTCTACATCTCAATCACATGTTTTAAAATCAAGCAAATTTATTTTCCTTTGAAAGAGATAAAGGTCACTGCTGGCAGCTGGAAAATGGCCCATTTCTAAGAGCCCTTTGCATTCCTCAGAGCTGGCCAGCACTCACGGAAAGACCTTGGCCTGCTTGTGTTGAGCATAACCAATTTCACAGCATACTAACTGCAGATAAGGCTCATTTGTGGTCCTGGTGGATCAAACAACACACCCACTGTAATTATGTCTAAACTCAGACAAAACCAAGAGACTGTCCAGGACACGAATGGGACTGAACATCCCTAAATCTGACCAGTATTAGTGATGGCCGATTTCTCACTGATCACTGCTCTACCCTGCTTGCTTCTCCCTATTGCTAGGTATGTCATCAAGCAACAAAATCAGAGAATTTCCTAGTTTTTGAGAGGGTCAGACACAGCATAAAGCGCCATTTCCAGAAGCCCTCCTCCACAACACTCACTGGGAGCCCAAACACTTCCTAACACCCTCACAGAGAGTCTGCACACATTCTCGCCTTGCAAACACTCAATAAGTGAATGTTTTCATGCTTCACCCAGCTGTAGCTGTGTCCTGTGGCTTTTGCCTGGAGTGCCTTGACCAATTTCCCTTCAAATGACAAAAATGGTTGACCTTTACAATTCTCTCCGCGGAAGGAAGGTTTCATCAGAATCTCAAGGTTTATATTGGAAATGAAATCTTAATTTCTATGTTATAGGATTTCAATTATGAAAATACTTGGCATCATTATTGTCATGAAACTCTGGTCTTGAAGCATTAGTTCTGGTTTACACAATGCTGGCTGTTTTTTACACTTGCCATATTGGTGTTTACTATCACTAGCAAAAGGATTCTGTGTTTTAATAAAGAAAAATGCTGCTTAGTAGCTAGAAAATACAGATATAGTATTTTCTACCAGAAGTGATATGGTTTGTAATGACCCTGACAATGAACTAGCAGAAAATGTGAGCTTTAATGACACTCTGTAAAGGAGGAAGGGATCTAGAGACAGCCAGTTTAATGTCCTACCTGGACAACTGTAAACCAAGCTCTCTTCAGATATGACTGAATTTATGTGTTAATACACCAAGGAAGCATGAAACGATTTCTTGTCGTTTTTCAGTTTATGTTACTGCAGCAGAACAAC